AAACCTAATCAAATCTGTGCATTGGCCCAGAGCATCTATGCACCAAGTTTCATCAAAAACCGATGTATGGTTCTTGAGATAGCAGTGGAACAGTCGGACACACATACACACATACACACACACACACACACATACAGACACACTAACTGCAAAGACTCCCATTTTGTGCTTCGCACATGGGAGTCAACAAGATGGCTGCCAGTCAGCCATTTTGAATCGAATCGCTAAACCACTGCATGTGCATATGTCCAACATAAGGTACTAGGCACATGCAAAGAATGAACGGAATCGGTCCACAGGATTCTGAAATATGACGTTGGATAGACTGACGCACAGACAGACGGACACACGGACGGTCGGACGGACAGACTCAGGAACTCACGGGCGGTCGGGGACATGTATCCTAACATGTATGATCTATGTACTAAATTTGAATGAAAACTGACAAAGCATGTCCAAAATACGTCATTTTCAAAAAACAAGATGGCTGCCAGTCGGCCATCTTTGATCCAATTGTGAAATAAATCATCATGGACATGTATCCTAACATGTATAATCTATGTACCAAGTTTGAATGAAAACTGACAAAGCATGTCCAAAATACAACATTTTCAAAAAACAAGATGGCTGCCAGTTGGCCATTTTGAATCGAATCGCTAAACCACTGCATGTGCATATGTCCCACATAAGGTACTAGGCACATGCAAAGAATGAACGGAATCGGTCCAAGGGACTCTGAGATATGACTCCGGACGGACGCACGGACACACGGACGGACAGAGACCAAATTATAAGTCCCCGTTTTCGGACTTCGTCCGAACGGGGACTAAAAAGGAAAAGACAACTGGGTAACAGACATAAAATAAATTTTAGAAAATTTAAATATGGGAAATATTTGGGAAAACCATAAATCTCTTGATGACAAACAAATCACTGAAACAGTAACGCGCAAACTAGAACAATCCTTTAAAATCATAGCACAGAAACATTACACGATGACAATAAAGGTAAAAACCACAAAAACAAGTTACGAACCTATAGGAAAATTAAAACAGAATTTGCATATGAAAAATATCTCACCACAATCAAAAATCCAAATCATAGAGCTGCTATGACAAAACTCAGAATAAGTGCTCATACCCTTCAAATCGAAAGGGGCAGATATAATAACATTTTAGCGGAGGACCGAATTTGCCCAGTTTGTGACAAACAGGAAATTGAAAACGAAAAACATTTTCTTCTCAATTGTAATTTATACAAGAAGGAACGAGAAATCATGATCAACAATATTAAATACAATAAAAGCAACTTACAAATATACTAAAAAGTAAAAATGACAAAACAATCATTGAACTAGGAAAATTCATCCACACTTGTTTCAAATTACGACAAGAAAAAATCTTAAAATGCCAGATGCCTCAACCAACCACCAAATAATTTAATTTTATTTTTTTTACTTTCAATTGTCTATGAATGTCTTGTGTTTTTTTTGTTTGTTTGTTTGCTATCTTTTTGTATTACTTTAATGTATTTTCAACTAAGATCCCACTCCAGGATACGGTTTCAATAAAGATTATTATTATTACAGTGACCCCTCACTAAGCTGTGCCTCAGTAAGTTGCGATTTCAGCTAAGTCGCGGGTCGTTGGATGGCTCCAAAAAATTCTATTGTGTTTTGAAGTAAAATATGTTTCATTGTGTATTTAAGTCGTCTTTAAAGAGACAACTTAACACCTACTATCCATCAATTACTGAGATACAAAGAGTGCCAGTGGCCTGACTGAAGGTGTTGACAGAGGTGTCAAGTCGTGACTTTACTTTTTGAATTCTGCCTTTGATATAGCTATCTATAACTCGCTACAATGAGTTGGATTCATCATTCTGATCTCTAGTTCTCAACTGAGCTGCATGTCTGTGAAAGGGAAAGCTATCCAGTCTGTCTGTACCTGAAAAACTTGACATGATCTAGCAGTATTCCTATTTGTGGGTGGGTAAAAAATGTAGAAAAGCTGAGAATATTTGTTTTCAAAGCTGACCAAGAGGCAAACTAAACAGAAAATGTGCAAAATTTACATATGGTTTCTTCAAGAATGATCTGCCGGAACTCCACTCTCTGGTGCCATCTTCCAGGGCAAAACATGCATGCTTGCCAAGCAAAGCAGAGGTGAAATTAAATTTATCACAGAACTAGTCTCATGTATAGATTTATTATTAAAAAAACAAGTCATTGTTAATGACACAGTCCATGTCCAAAATTTTGTGATCTGACATATCAATTTGATGCTGATGAAGTCATTGAGATTAAATTGAAACCATTAATAGGAGATGGATTTGTAAACAAGCAGCCTGTCGGCTGAGATAACTCCGCTGTTAGCAATGCACATTTCAATTAAAGAACAGAAGATATCATCAGAAAATGAACAATATGTATAGTATCAATGCAATGGGACTGGCTGTTTTCAACAAGAATTCAAAAATATCACCTTTCACCATAAATGACAAAAATAATCATCAAAATTAGATAATTAAAGATATCATTACAAAATGAAAAAATCTGAGAGAGGTCCACATGTAGTACCTATATATGTAATATCAAAGCAATTGGACTTGAGGTTTTTAACAAAAAGTCGAAATATCACTTTTTACCAAAAATGACAAAAATATTCACCAAAATTAGAGAATTGTAGATATCATCATGAAATGAACAAACCTAAGAGAGGTCTACCCAAGGTACATATACACCAAGTATCAAAGCATTCAGGCTTGTAGTTTTCAAGAAGAAGTCGAAAAAGTAAAACATTGACACGGACGACAACGAACAATCACTCATAATAATTATATAACCAAAGAATTCACTATTAATAGAGGAGTAAAACAGGGATGTATAATTAGCCCAACTCTTTTCAACATTTTTATTAACGATTTAAAGGATAGTTTGGATAATGCTAATACTGAACCACCACTCCTGAATAATAACACTGTTAACTCTATTTTATATGCAGATGATTTAGCCCTCATTTCCACTACCCAGGCTGGTCTACAGACATCATTAAATACACTAAATGAGTATTGCAATAAGTGGAAATTGAGTGTGAACCTTTCAAAAACTCAAGTTGTTATCTTTGGTTCATCAACATTGAGAAAAAAATACCAATTCAATTTTGGAAATGATAACATTCAAATAACAAACAGTTATACATATCTAGGAATCACAATAAAACCAAATGGGAGTTTTGCTGATGCCATGTCAAATTTAGCAGGTAAAGCTGGAAAATCAATTTACATCATGAACAAAGTACTTTTAGGAAATCTAGACATAAAACTAAAAATGAAACTATTTAACATTTACATAAAACCAATTTTTCTTTATGGCTCAGAATTATGGGCCTAGACTTGCAGGACATTAAG